AAAAATCTCTGACAAAATATATTTTATTTTTAATTAAAATAAATCTCACCCATAATCTTTTTTAAATATAAGTATTTTTTTTTTTGTAAATGTAAATATTTTTTTGGTGTATTTATTTCTTTTTATAGATTTAAGAATTATTAGGATTCAAAAAATATTTAGGGGCTTAATCATTCAGAATATGAAAGTCCATTGGCCTTTTTCATACTTTTCTTATTATTTTTTCACATTATCTAGTTGTATATATCATAAGAATGTATCTAACATGTATTAGAAAATTCAATGAGTTATTTAACATAGTTTGGAATGTTCAATGACTTATTTGTTTTAAAAAATTGTCGAAAAACTTAATCATTCCAAACACTAAAGTTCATTGAGTTTTTTTAGACTTTTTCCTTTATAAAATAAAATACGTATTTTTAATGTACTCTTAGTAAAAATGGTTATTGATTAATTAATATAACAAGGGTATAAAGTGAATAATCAAAAAGATAAAAAGATTAAAAAAAAAGGACAAACCACAAATACTAAAATCATAAGTTAGTCATAGGGACCAAAAGTGAAATAAATTGACAACTATAATGACCAAAAGTATTGAAAGAGGGACCAAAGTTGATAATGGATGACAACTGCATAGGCCGAAAATGTAATTTACTCTAATTATGATGAGATTTTCTAAATTATGTTTTTTGTACATGTGGTTTGTTAAAATTTGCAATTTTAATTCTTGTGATTACAAAATTGTGGTTTTCATTCTTATGGTTTGCAATTCATTACTATTTTCGTCTTTGAAACCTTAACTCCTATTTTAGTACGAGGAACGAAAACATTAAAGAATTGAAATCTATAAAGACAAAAATAGTAATAAATTTTAAATCATAAAAATTAAGTAATATAAGAACGACAATAATAATTTTCAATAAATTATAAGGGACCAGAAAAAACGTAATTTACTCATATAATAATTTTATAAAATACTTCATAATTTTGAAATATTTTGGTATGTGTTAGGAGTGTTTTTATTTTGTAAGCTTCTACTTTAATGTTATTAAAGTAAACTACAAATTTGGTCCCTGTGGTTTATTGTTTGTAGCATTTTTGGCCCCTATAGTTTATAAATTATTGTTTTACCATTGAGGTATGCAAAAGCGATCGGATTTGGTCCCTAGCTTTGAAGGTCGTTAGAATAACCCGTGAAGTCAGTGGTATTTTAATCTTTTTACCAATTCATTTGTTTTTACTCAATTAAAAAGTTACAAGGACCAAAATTGTAGTTTAATATTTTTTGGCTTTTTTCTTTTAATTTTATTAAATATTTTGTTATCGTTGATTTGATCGTATCCCTCCCTGATTTGCACCTCCGACTAAACCACCGCCATCACCCAACTTTGTTTGTCTATTCCGATTATCGCCACTATCGTCCACCGTTATCCACCACCAGAAATCTAAATCAAAGACAAAATCAAACACAACTCCAAAAATGAGACCTCAAAATCAAACACAACTCCTAAATTAAAAGATAATAACCTCAAACACTGAATAGAAACTCCTATAAATCTGAAAAACAGTGAATTAGAAGCAAGAAATAGATTGATCTTGATAGCTTCATCATCCATTGTTCCTGTCGATTTCTAAAATATTAAAATAACATAAAACCCTAAGGGTGCGTTTGGTTTGCAGGAATGTTTCTGAGGGATTTGGATTCCCAGAAGGGATTTGGATTGGATTGGATTTAAAATTCATTCATGTGTTTGATTTGCAGGATTTGGATTGGATTTGAAATCCATTTCTTTATAAATCATGTTTGGTTTGTAGGATTTGGATTGTAATTTTTTTTTTTTTGTAATTATTTTAATCACCAAATCCCTTTTATTTTCTTAAACCTATCTATTTAACCAACAAACCTAAATATTTAACAATCAAACTTTTTCATCCAAAATACATATTTAATCAACAAACATGTTAATCCAAAATACATATTTAACAATCAAAATTTTTCATCCAAAATACGTATTTAACTATCAAACTCGTTAATCCAAAATACATATTTAACAATCAAATTTTTTCATCCAAAATACGTATTTAACTATCAAACTCGTTAATCCAAAATACATATTTAACAATCAAATTTTTATCATCCAAAATACAAATTTAACTACCAAATTGTTCTTCCAAAACCACACATTTACCCACCAAAATTTTCATTCATTTAAAACCCAATTGACGTAAGCTTCCCTATCCGCTTCTTGCAAATCCCAAAACATGTTCACCTTTTCATGATCGTCTCTTATCAATGAAATTACTTTAAACTTCTCCGGTTGGACCAATGTCTGCATTTTTGATATCTCAGAAGTGATCATCGAACATTTCTTATCAAGTTTTTCTTCTCGTTCGACACCCTTGTTAAGTTTGTTTGCCATTTTCTCCAAAGTTGCTCCAAATTTAGTAATCGCATCTACTCGACGTTTTCTATTCTTACCACGCACACTTGAAGTTTCTTTAGATTGCATATTTGCATTCCCACCTTGAACATGGACAACTATCTTAAACCATTCTAATGACTCTTGTCTCCTTTGCCTATGTAACCGTCTTGTTAAACTAAGTCGGTCCATTTCCTGTCCAATTACTCAAATTGTTAAACATATAGAAGCTGTAGTGTTTATCGGCAATATATCAATACATTATCATCTAATAAAAGCTATATGTGAAATATCTCATATTCATTCCGACCGTTTTCCTTGAATCCAAGTCTTGAGGCATTCCCAACCTCAAATGAGAAGTTGCTACAGTGACAGAGCACATCATATATAGCAAAAAGCTAGAATAAAAGCATTATGTGGTAGGGTTATTAGCTGGTGTAACCAAGAAATCACAGCCTATTAAAATAAACTACTTCAAAAATATGAAGGAAAGATTTTATGATTCCCTAAAATGAGAACACTATAGTTACCATCAAACTCATCAAAACCTTTTCTTCATAAAGGAAAAAGGATGGCGGGTTTGTGGGTCTTCATAGATTTACTCGACTAGATACTAGGGCTCAAGATTCAAGTGTAAGGGGCCATTTACTAAACACTTACCCGGTAAGTGTTGATCGGGTAACTTTCCTCACTTGATGCATATGGCAAGAGCTGAAAATCTTACCCGATAAGAGCGATGATAAGTATAGAGAGTCTTACCCGATAAATGATGGCGAGGACTCTTACCCGGGTAAGCGTTTACCGGGTAATTTGTTGTATACGATACCGTTTTAATATACTATAATCTTATATGGTAAAATATATTATAGTGTTGACTCCTACTAGTAAGCACTTACTGGGTAAATATTTGAGTAAACGGCCCCTAAGACATTAACCTATAAGGCTTGGTTCTTGTGTTCATGTCTATTTTTGAATGCCTTTCTATGCATTTACATGTTAGAGAATGCTTAGTTTGAATATTCTAGAGCTTGACTAAAAACAGATTAAAGAATACTACTACTACTAGTAACACTTTCAAGTTGGAGTGTATACATCAGTATACCCAAAATATCACAAAGGCTTAGTTTGAATATTCTAGAGCTTGACTAAAAACAGATTAAAGAATACTACTACTACTAGTAACACTTTCAAGTTGGAGTGTATACATCAGTATACCCAAAATATCACAAAGGCTTAGTTTGAATATTCTAGAGCTGGACACCCAAACAACTAAAAACTGGCTTGATAGATGGAAGTCGCCTAGATGTATTGCTGACCCTCTTGCATATATAACAAAATTATGGTAACCTCAAAATGCAATCCATAAATGCAGTCCAAAGTATATAGAACGCCTATTTGATATTAGTCAAAGAAACCCCCCAACACCCAGAAACTCCAAAGTATATAGAACGCCTATTTGAGTGACATTATCAAGTTATACCCAACTAATGCAAAGAAAGGATTGAAAGCAGTTGAAACTCAAACCTGAAGCATCCTACCAGATTTTTTCAACTTAAGCTAAGTTCTACTTGTAACAAACAGAAAAAACTTTGGGATGTTCAATATTGAGCACGGCTTAAAGAATACTTAATCAGTAGGTATCACAAAAAGAACTTCCAAATCAGTGATTGAAATAAAACTAGCGACAGTGATTGAAAAAGGCACACAAGCTCCAAGGCACACAAAATACTACAAAAGGGAAAAAGGGGATTTACCTGCTCAGTGATGGGAGAAGGCGGCAAAGAGGATGGGTTTATCGGCGGGTTAGGGCGGCAGCTTTGCGAGGGGACGGGAAGGGAGCAACTGTGAGGACGACCGATTAGGGCGCAACTTCGCGAGGGGACGGGAAGGGAGCACCGGCGAGGAGGACCGATTAGGGCACAGCTTCGCAATGGGACGGGAAGGAAGCACCGGTGAGGAGGACTGATTAGAGCGGATGGAAGGGAAGCGATGAAAGGGAAGCTGGGTGAAGGAAGCAGGAGGAAGCGATGGGAGGAAAAAGCTTGGATTTGGATTTCAAATCCCGCACCTTTGGGAAGGATTTCCAAATCCCGYGTCTAAKGGATTTTAATGAAATCCCAGGATTCCAAATCCCTTCAATTTGGCAAACCAAACATAGGATTGGAATGGATTTCAAATCCAAATCCCCCCAATTCCATTCCAATCCCGTAAACCAAACGCACCCTAACTCTCTGGTTGCTGTACACCCACTGTAACACCCCCGTCCCGCGTGGTCAAAGACGGGAGATGCCACAATTGGAATAAATTATCATGCTATATAAAACAGAGCGACTAATAAAATTTACCAAAAGATAATTACATAACCACAAACGGAGATAACGTATCTCAAAATACGATCCCAAAATACA